TTTTTTTGTTGAGGTGAATAAAGGTCAAATTTCCTGCTTTAAAAGAAAGCATTTCATTTGATGATCTATAAATAGCAGGCAGCCTCAGCTCTGAAGGACGTTTATTGTCTGAAAACTTTAACATTACTGGGTGTTGGCTTCCTTTGACACAAGATGTTTAGAGCTCAGTTTTATCTAATCAAGTACTGTGCTCAGGCTTTGAGACTCAGGTAAGTTTCACAGCCTTCAGTGGGAATCATTGTGCAAACAAAGGAAAAAAAACAAAGTCTTTGCAGCTCTTTATATCATCTGTGAAACGTGAGCTGCCGAGAGACACTTTTCCTGCTCAATGCGCAGAAGAGCGTCACAGGAGATGGAAAAAAACTGGTTTAATTTGAGAGCATGAAAACGAGCTCTGGAATGACAAAGCATTCCTGAACTGAGTTAGAAACTCTCTGAAACACACACAACCCACCAGGTTCCCAGCTAATCTTTCAGCTTATCTAAATACAAGCACAGCTAAAATACAAACCCTTTAACTTAGTTTACTAGATATAATAATCTAGAACAGTGCATCTGATGTGTTTTTTATTTATAGCGTGAAAATGAGACATAGAAAATATCCTTATTTTTGACAGCATACTGTTTTTGTCCTATTAGATGTTTTCAATCCATTTTAATTATTTTATTTGTGAAGGGGAAAAAAGTTATCAAAATTAACCTGGCTCTTAATTAACCAAATTTATCTGGGAATCTGATTTCAGTTAGAATAACACGTATAATGAAGAAATCACTGGGAGAGCAGGCAGAAATATTCAGTAACAGATGGTAAAACTAAATTCCTGGTGTATATCGGTCTGGAAAAAAACTTTGCAGCTTCACAACTTGTAAAACATTGTGAAGCTGGGAAATGAACCAAAGTACAGCAGCAAGTCCAGTGAATGGCTTGAAAATATACGATGTGACCTAATCAAAGTCTGTACTTAAATGCTCAAAACAAATAGATGCATGATCTTTAAAAGAATGATTCATGCTCTAAAATGCATTTTAAAAAATTTATATTTCTGCAAAGAAACGTCGGCAAGAATTCCTCCACAGTGATGTAAAAACACTCACTGCCACTCATTATGTTCACACGGTCCGAGCTGCGACCCAGAACGACACGATAGGTTAGTAATTTCTGGAGTAAAACAGCTTTTTGTGCTGCTGTTTCATGTAAAATCCCTGTGAATTATTTCACATTCTTGAAAAACAGTGGGAAGATCTTATTACCTCTAGATGTTGATTATGCTCAGTAAAAACACATAAATAGCCTTTGGTAAACAAACTGAACCTTTCTGTTTCTGCAGGGAAAAACCACACCATGTTGTCATTACTTAAACATCACTTACCCCTTCTTGTACTTGAGGGAAAGAGCTTTCCAGAAATCAATTTCCTCGTCCTTTGAGGAGAATTTTGGCATCATGTCCATTTCCATGGCAAACAAATCTACAGGAGAGAATTAGCAAAGAACACATATTACCTTGATTTATCAACCTCAAAGAAGAGTCAAGAGAAAATCATTTTTGACAGGTAACGTCATCCTCAATTCTGTGTATAGTCATTCATTTTTACATTTAAAGCCTCCTAAATACAAACCAACTACTGCTGGCCTGAAAACTACTAAATCTCTACAAAGAGCCTCAAACTGCATTCAGGTTTGATCAGTTTCAATAATCTTTGCCCACTCCAGCACAATCTCTCCAGATCATCCTCGGTTCTCCTCTTCGGCTCACCATCCTCCACAGGTTTGCTACGGGTTTAGGTCTGGAAACTGGAATGGAGGAAAGTTGATTTTTTTTTTTTTATTTGGTGTGGTTTTGTATCGATTTAATCACATGTTTTAGATCGTTATCTGCTGAAAGATGATGACCTATTTTCAATGTGAAAACAAACCAAAAAAAAAAAAAGATTGGGTTCTTTCTTTAGCCCAAATGTTGGGTTTATGCTTTTGGGGAGTTTTGACCAGACAGTTGGAGCCTCATAATGTTTTACAGGCATCCATTTTGGATTGAACAATGTGATCAGACTGAACCTCTTCCGCAGGATGACCGTAAATAATGTTAACATGATCCAACCCAGCAACGTTGCATTAAATTAGCTGAAGCCTAGATTTGTCTACAAAAGTAGCCCTGATTGGCTTGTTTTTAACCCAGCGGATTTTAGACTGTAGCGATACAAAGAGTCCTCTGTTACTGGCCAAGGGACCTAAATTATCACAAATCCTCCACCGTACTTGACAGTGGACCAGAGGCGAGGTGTTCATGGAGTGGGAATATTTAATCAGAGCCCACTGTTCCAGTTAAAGTCTCAGGAGAGTGTGGCAGAAGCCTCATGTTTCAATATTTAACCCAGTGATGAATGTGGAGGGCCCTAGTGAACGCAGTGCATATGTAAAATAAAGTGAGACTAGGACTTACACCACAGCAGGGCGTTATTAATCAGAAACACTCAGTGAAGACTAGCAGCCCCCAACATGATGGTTAAACAAAGGGCTTCATACAAATGTATGTCACACTTCTCAGGTCTTTTTTTTGTAACACTTTGTTGTTGTTTTTTACATGTGTTATTTCATTCCACTCACAACTATGCACTGCTTTGTGATAGTTCATCACATGAAATAACCCAAAAAAAAAACAATAAGAAAAATGTACAGAGCTACTTGAATGACTTACAGTTTTACTACATTTAATAATGATGAGATCAAAACAGATTCTAACATGAAAAAGATCTTTATTTTACATAGAGCACTAAATAATATTATTTTATTCATAAATGGTGATCAAATAATTTATCTTGTATATTATTAAATGTGTAGCGTATTTATTATTTACGACTAGTGTCACGTCAGAATACCCTTAAATTAGGGGCGGATTATATTTTTTGTCTTTCAGAAATGATACATGATACATTTTTTTAATTATTTTTTTGATAACCGGATCTGGGTTGAATGGGTTAATCGATGATGAAGCTGAACACAGATCAGATGTTTATCAGATTTTAATGGCCCATGAAGAAAATATTTAGTTGTACATTATTGAAGTGTAGACAAAATAATAATAAACGTCCATTTTTCCATATTTATATTTAATATCGGAGTTTATTGGGGTTTGGGCGAGACACATCGATGATGCTGTTGAGCTCAGCTGTCAAAACTGGGTGTGCAACAATCCGAACACACGGCCAGCCAGAGACGACCGCGATGGATCCGGTATTTTAATTAGTATTATTATTTTATTTATTTTTACTTCAATAAAATGACTATATTAAACCAAAGTGCATCAGTACCTGATCATCGCTTCCAAAGGTTTATCAGTCCATCGCTGCTCGGAGCTGCTGAAGCTGGCCGTCCTCCGCTGTCTGATGATCTCCGCTCCACTGCGCTCAGCGGGATTTAAAGGGGAACGCACCTATAAAATAAATCACAGCTCTCCTATTACTAATTCACGTTTTATCTCTCTTTACAGGACATAGTCGAGAGTGAGTAATTTATCTCCACAGAGGAACACACTATAAAAATATGCATATTTGAAACACATTTTAAATAAGCTAGATAGATGCACAGATGGTTAAAAATGTACATACAAATAATTTCTTATTGGAAAAAAGGCATGATTATTGACGGCATTTAAAACAAATTCACAGATTTAGGAATGGTTTTTTTTTTTTAGTTTTTTTTTACAGAAAATAATTCAGATTTAGGGCGGACCAGTGCACCTGCTCCATGCGCATTACTACTGCGCAACATTGCGCATAAGACACAAGTTTATTAAAATAGCACCATCTACTGGTAATCCAACAGCACAGACTGTGTTGTTTGAAGGATGTGGTTAAGAGCTAAATTTCAGATTTGCAATACAACGTCAAGTCAAGTAAATATGACAGATTGGGATGTAAAAAAAAAAAAAAAAAAAAAAAAAAAAAAAAAAAAAGGGAAACAGTCAAAAGAAATGGAAAGAAGTTGCCTTTTAGTGTTTCGTCTTTTTTAATGAAGAGCTTACATATTAAGCTAGCGAATATGTAGCAGGTCTCTCCTATATTTCAAGATAAAATTTCAGCAGTAAGTTTATTCACAAACCGAAATTAGCCCGAAATATTAGTTGCTGTATAATTCTATTTCTATGTATAGATATAATTTTCAACTAAGTAAAAACAAACAAACACAAACAAAAGACAAAACAGACAAAAAAAAGAAAAAAAAAAACTAAAACGTTTATTCTTACATCGTGACGTCAGAGCGCATGTTGCGGGAATACGTTACCCTGGTAACGAAGGACTAACTCGGCTGTGCTGAGTATTTCCTGGGAGCTTCAAAGTCTTCCTTCAAACTTCTGGGACGCCATGGAGGATGACGAAGAGAGAGTAACTCTGTTTGATGTGGTTTACGGCAGAAAGTCAGAGGTTTGTGCCGAAAGTTCGCAAATGCTTCGTTTTATTTGTCTCGGAAGTCACAATTTCGGCGTGGAAGTGACATCACATTTAATACACAAAGCTGCCATAAATACAAATTAAAAGATCATTCCTGCAAATTGCACAGTGCTAGTGCACAGTGGCCACATTGGATGTTTAGGACACATTCGTAACATACATCGTACTGTATTGTTAAAAGCACTTACCCGCTTTCTGTATACTGAAAATAATAATTCAAGCTACTTTTCTATACTAGATACTTCTGCAAAGGTGAGTCTCTAGCAGCTTTACTGCTTCTCTTATCAACGTTCTCTCTGCCAGTTTAGGCAGACGGTAACTATTGATCATGCTTCTTCCAGTTTCAGATTATGGACGTTCAAGGCCTGAAGCACTGGTTTTATAACCTAACCCTGCTTTAAACATCTCCACAGTTTTATTCCTGGCCTGTTTGCCGTCTTCCTTAGGCTCCATAAAGTTTTCTTCACCTTTAAAACTTATGTGAGACCTTTATAGAGCAGGTCTTTGCTGTATTTTGTTCTGAATATCCAGCTCCTCCTCTTCTTCACCTCCAGCGTTTATACCACAAGGTTATCCTTGAATGAGGTGAGAAAGAGTCACAGAAGAAAGCTGCAGGCTTGGTCTTATAGGGCCTGGACAACAATGGGTTTCTAGGGTGTAAGCTGTCGAAACACACAACAGCAAAGCTCAATGAGACTTCGCTCTGTCGCTACTTCAGCGAAACTCAGACAGAGATGAGGCTGGAATAACAAGTGATGGAGAAAATGGAGGCAGAAGAAGCAAAAGAGGAGACTGGGACTAGTTTCTTATACCAGATGAGGAAGGAAAAGATGGAGGAAGATGTGGTTTGTATACAGTTTGGGTTTTTTCCCCATGGATTTCATTAAACAAATTTGTGTCTTTTTACTCTTAAACAGGTCAAAAAGCTATTAATACAGACACTGTCAGGTAACAAGCTGGCTAATTCTGAAGGCTCTTCATTTTCTCTCTCTCTCTCTCTCTCTGCAGAAGGTCGTGCTGCAGCAGCTGACAATGGTAGCCCAAGTCCCCAGTGATGCTGCTGATAGAACAGAACTGGGAGGTCAGCCACCAATTACCTCACAGCTACAGAGCTTGACACTTTAATTATCTGATACCAATTTAATTCAGTTTTCCTCACGGGGGGCTGATAATGTGACGATATTCCTTGTGATATAACAAACGAATAGCCCTACATTCTAGTCTGTGCAGAAAAAACCCAGAGGGACTTTTTTTTTCCTGTCCCGTCTTCGCTGTCTGAGTGTTTTTACACCTCCTTGTGTAAATGTCCGTTCATCGACGTTTATGAGAGCCGCTGACGAAATTCCTAGACATTTACTGGAGTAGAAAACCAACAATAAAAGCTGGGATAGCAGCGGAGCTGTGTGTTTACAATAAGTCGGTTTTTATGTGCTGCCTAACAAACCGCCGTTTGTTTGTTTGTTCGTTTGCTTCTGAGCAGCTCGTTATGAAAATCTCATCACTCAGTTAACTAAACAGCACAGGCTGGGTTGTGGGATCACAGGGTTGCTGCTCATTTATCCCACCTGTCTGCTGCACATCATTGAGGCAAGTTCTGCTTCCAGCTCAAAGTCAGATTGTCAGATTTGTACATGTAGTTGACTGTGTTTGTCTTACAGGCATCTGAATATCTGCTGGATTGTTTTTTGAACGAACTCCGAGCCATGCAGGAGCAGCCGGACTGGTAACCATCCCTTTGCTAATGTTTGCAAACGAGAACGTGTAAGGATCATCGTTCCCCAAGTTGCTTTCTACGTCTAACAAACCTCTGAGGCCCGAATTAATGCTTAGCTTAAATCACACATATTAGACCTCCATTCACTCCAAAGGTGACGTTTGGAGACAATTTACATTTTCTCGTTTGAATGAATAGTTTTGAAATAAACTTCTGTTAGGTGCGTCTGGCCTGATGCCAAAGCTTCCTTTGGTTTTCAGGCACCAGATGAAGCAAAGATCACAACAAAGACGTTAAGGTTTGGCTCGATTCATAAAATCTACACACTTCACATGAAGGAATCGACAAACGTTAGCAGCCATCAGTGAGTTCAGGAGCTAAATGTAAGCTGACTGAGCAGCCAGTATCACTTTCCCTTGAGTTGCTCTGCTAGAACGACTAAAGCAGCCCAACACGAGTAAAACTGAAATCGCCTTCAGTTTGTCATCACTAATGTGAAATTACAGCTGCTCACAGGCAGATGGACATTTTAAATGATTTTGTTGCTGCGGACAAACTGCTGAAAATGTTTCATTATGTTGCGTTAAAGGCCTACGAACTCTCTTTTCAGCAAATTGCTGGAAGCTAAGGTCGCCTTCATGTGGCATAGTCTGGAAGGCAGACAGTTCCAGCAATGGAGCTACAAGGTGAGCTCTTTTCATCTCTTCCCTTGAAGTGCTTAGAGATGTTTCTGCTGATACCTTCAGGTTTTTTTTTTTTCTTTAGCTGTCACCTTTGTATGTGTAGTTTTGAAGCTGCCTGTCTTTCTGCAGGTGCTGACTGCAGATCAGATAAATCAGAACCTGCTGTTCACCACGCTTGAAAAAGTGGAGGAGAGCGTAGAGACGGTGGTCTGCCGCGTCCTGACGCAGTTGCAGGAGCTGGTTATGCATTTAAAAACTTCTAAGGTTGGTCTTTTGTTTTCTGAGAGATCACATTAATGTGAAGATATAGCAAGTATGTACTCAATTTGTCATGTTACAGTCGCAAACTTCATAATTACAAACTGGTAGGGAGGTAATACATGTGTTTTCAGCATTTCTTCAAATACAAATTTTGGGGAAAACACAACAAATATCTGTGGCTTGTAAAGACTCTCACACCTGAGCTGTGGATCCCTGCAGATCCTCCAGAGTTATTCAATCGCACCACAACAAAAAGTGACACAGTTCAAGGCTTATGGATACTTCTGGATGCCACTGCAATGTTGTGGCTGCATGATTGCGTTTCCAGGAACTTCCAGGCGCCATCTTGGATAACAAACCAGAGTTGTTGAATCCTCCGGCGGTTTTGGAGCAGCTTTTGGACCGAGATGAACTTTTAAGTCCTCAGCAGTACCTGCAGATGTACCACAGCCCCTTAAACATTTGCATTGACTTTGGTAAGAGGAGCTTCATTCTCAGTCTGAAAATAACATTCACCTCAATAGTGTGAACTTTAGGTTTATATGAAAAAACATATTAACTGTAAAGTATGACCACAGATAAAAAAGGAAGAATATTAACATTTTACTTTGTTGTTGTTCAACAGGACAAGTCAATCTCAGATCCTTCTTCTAGAGCTTCCAGCTGTCTCCGTCTGTCTGAGCGCCATGAAAAACATCCAGTTCACAGTGAATGTTTGTGTTTAAAATGAGAGAGCATGTTGGAAACTTAACTTAATAAATGTAACACTGTTTTTAAATCACATCAAGTGATAATTTTAACATTTATTTTACCTTTCTGTCCAAGGGTTGAAAGCTCAGCTCGTCATTTTTACTTCGTGTCTTAATGTAACTTTTTTGACAGATGGGTTCAGTTCAGTTCACGCTGTTATTGTTTCACCGCCAAATGATATTCTATAGTAAAGCAACTAAAAGGAACTTTTTCACAGGAGGAACAGGTCATCTATAATGTCCTAATCTGACACAAATCGATCTGTCAATAATCTGTTGGTATATAAATAGACAGGATGTGACTGAAGACATTAAACAAGCTGTGAAACGCTGCAGCTCTATTTCCCAGAACTTAATCAAGTGCATCATGTTCTGCTTCTGTCCATTGGACTGATATTTACCTTCTGAATTATATTATGCTAAATTATTAACTATATGCTAAATCTGAGATTTAAATGTGTTTGCAACAAAAACAAGGGACATATGATTAATATAAAAACAGGTTTAATAGTTTCAACATTCGGATGATTAATCTTTAAATTTTTTCCCGTCTTACACTGAATTCCACTTGGTGACCAAGAGATAGAAGATTTTTTTTAAAAAGAAATGTAATTTCCTTTTTTTATTCCAGACTTTGAGAGTCAACAGCATCACTACAGTTTAACACAAAGATTGGATCAAATGTTTTTTTTGTTGTTTTTTTTCCGTTTCAGTTTGGCTCCTTAACGTATAACTTGAACCTTTGCAAAATGAAACAAAAAAAAAGAAAGAAAAAGAATAAGTATTTTGGCTGCAATGACTGCATGCACCACAGTGTAATCTACACACTAAACTGGATTATTCTAGGATATACAGCGTTCCAGTAGATTAAAGTCCAGTACTAAACAGGGTTGTTGTTTTTTTTTTAAAGGATCTCGGTCTCTGTTTTAAGCCGATTTGCTTTTTCATGACAAGGTGGAACATATGAGGAGTAAACGTCTGAATAACTTGAGAACTGACGAGGAGTTTCGCTAAAAAAAGAAAAGGGCAAAGGGCAGCGCTGACCGTTACTTCTTGAAAGCCTGATCTTTTCTCTCATCAAAAATAAATACAAGCACATTTAGATAGGACCAAATATAAGACGTGTTTCATAGGCGTGGTGAAAAAGCATGCTGTAGAGACAATGCACAAAAGACAATGTTGAAGTTCGTCCCACAAAACTGCTCATGATGCGTCTGACGCATGAAACTACGTGGACGACGCGCACGCGTCTGCTTCCGTCGCAACCTCTGAGGTGAATATTGTTTGTACATTCCACCTGTTTGTGTAGAAAAAGGCTTTTATATATATATTTATATATATATCAGTGCTCAAAAAGCTGAAAACTATGTGGGATGTGGAGTTTGATGTGCTCTGAAATCATTTGGTAAAAAACACGCAGGTGAACCAGGAAACGACACAGAGCGGGGGCAGATAGACCTCAGCCCAACTACAATGGCTGCTAAGTTATTTCTTTGTTTTTCTCCTAGTAATTATAAACTACTTTATTAATGCTGGATTATGCTAATTCATCTGGTGGATCTGATCGGTTGTGACATGGCAGCAGATTAAAAACGATTCAAAACATAAAATATAACGGGCCACTAGGGAGTTAAAACAAAAGCTGGGGTTGTAAAAATTTTTTACAACGCTGGGGCTGTAAAAAAAATTATAAATTATATGCAGAGTCCTGTAAGCAAAGCACATTCATGGAAAGTTGAGTGGAAGGAAAAGAGCCACACTGAGTTGTATCTAAAACAGTAACCCTTTTGATCCTTTTTTTTATTGATCTGTTGTATTATTATAATTTTCTGAGAACAGAACAGAATTTGAGGTTTTCATTAACAGTAAACCACGATGGAGAAACTGACAGCCATGAACAGCTGAACTATTTCAAACTGTCTCTCTGAACTGAACTGTAAGATAAATGAACCTTTAAGTGTTGATTCAATAAAAATGCTATGTCATGTTTTACATCTGCTCTTCACTGGTTGATTTATGGAAACTGTATTTTATCTTGTAACCATTTGGACTCCCTTTATCGGTGGAATTAAAATGTAAATTGAAGCTCTGCAGGTGCTGACGGGTGCTATGACCCATCCCACGATCACAGGTGCAGTTTCTCCTGTCAAGTAGTGTAAATAATTAGAACTAAAATGTACACATTCAAATGTAAAGAAACAAAATGGCTGAAATAACTTGAGTATCATCCAGTTAAACGTCGTGCTGCATCATGTCAGAGCAAGCAGCTAAAGACAAAAACAGATGTGGCGTCGTCTGTTTTTTCTACCTATAAATCTACTGAGAGGTCAGGAAGTTTGCAACACAAACACTACGCCTGTAGAAAAGAGAAGCCAACATCTGATGTGTAAATGTGACATTATTGTGCTACAACCACCAACATTATAATCATATATGTACAGCGCGTTTAGTTTTCAGTAAATGTGAATAGATTTCGATATCGATATATCCGACTCTTCCCGTTGTCCATATGTACAGAACAAATATGTACAGACGCGTCGAGATTTACAAAAGTCCTGCGATTTCGTGACTTTGCACTTAACCAAGAGGCGATGGCAGAGCAGCACAGTGGACGTTCTCAGGACAGAAACTAAAGGTCCTACAGGTCGGATAGGTCGCGACGAAACCCTCCGCAAGGCAAACTGCTGCTGTTCCTAACCTCGTTACATCAGTTTGACTGATTTTCAAGTTTTAATGCGGCAGCAGAAAAAATCTGGTCCTGTGTCTGAATATGTGATTTTTTTTTCCCTCTTAAATCCTCAGACAAGATTCACGTGAAGCGCAAATACTCACAGCTCCTCACACCAAGTAAACCGTACTCAGACGTATATCTATAAATACTCTCATCAAAATAAACAAATATACAGATATCTTTGCACTTGCCTCTGGATCACCAGTAAAACTCCCAAAAAAATATCAGCATCATCAGAGTTTCCTATAAACTGGAACTGCAGGTGTAATGGCACTGTGATGAAAAAAAAAGAAAAAAAGATGTGCTTATTCATAAAAATACAGCACATTTTCTTTCTGGTGGTGCTTCAGATCTGTCTTTTTTTTTTTTTTTGGTTATGATATGACAACAGACTGCTTGGTTTATTTCTCATATGAAGCCTGGAGTGCAACATAACACAAACTGGTTCCAGTGCTAAGCTGCTGCTGCTGCTTGTTATCTTGCTGCAGCAGGATAAGCATCCACTGCAGAGATGGTTTAAGATGATGTAGCTAAAGAGCTGCGTTTTTATAGAACCAGCTGTACCAGCTTCATACTGGGTGAAAACCCCCATTATCTTCCACCCAAAGCGCTCGACTTGTTAGAACTGGGAAAATCTGTTGCAGTGTAAATGTAATCATGATGCAGGCGGCTGCACTCATGACGCAACGCCTCGGAAAAGCATCCACATAGCTGAAGTGGAAGGAGAATGATGCATGGATCTGAAACATTTTACTAATAAACAAAATCTGTAAAGTTCAGACATGCCTTTGTAGAGCCACGTTTCACTGCGGTTGCAGTATTTTAGGCTCTCTGCCAGAGACTCGAACTCAGTCAGATCGAACGGAGAGAGTCCGTGAAGATCGATCCTCAGTCTGACTGCGCCGTTTTAGCAAAGATTTACTTAGAGCTAAACAAATCCTTTATAGATCTGGTTTCATGTTGCGTTGGAAGGTCGCCTGTTTGTATGGTTTGCTTCGTACAGAGGGTCTGGACCCTCAGCTATTGAGAAACGATCGCTTCCTGGAGGAATACTTTTTTTCTTTTTTACGTCTACCCTGCTTTCCAGTCAGATCTGACCAGCTTTTCTCTCTCTGCTGAAGCAAAGCATGAACGGGAACAGGTGTTCAAGAAGATGTACATCGACAGATTCACACCTCACTTGTTTTTTTTTGTTTTTTTTATGAAAAAGTTTGGATTTCATCTGACTACAGATTCTGGAAACCAGTCTCCTCGTGTTTTTCTTTCTGGTTCTCTTCAATCAAAGCCAGATTTCATCAATATCCTCTAACAAACCTTCACAGAACAGCTGCGTTTATGCTGAGCTGTTATTTTGTTAACTCATTTGAAATCGGGCGTCATTTTCTTTCCTCTTCCCATGTGTTCTTGGAGTACATGTCTGACGACGTCACGGAGACGGTGGGGTTTTCTCCCACAGTGGAAGTGGAGTAGCAGCGTCCCGCTCTAGCACTGCAGCAGCTTTGTTGGAAAGTCCAGGCGTCATAAAACCAGTCCTACACATCCATGTCATCGCAAACCTTCTCCAGGCTGAGGAATGAAATATAAAAAGGTCCCACACAGCTTTGACTGCTGCCAAAATAATCAGTCTGAATTTCTCCATCTTTCATAAACTACAGTGTGCATGTCATACATTTCCAAGCTCCCTGCCTGCATCCATTAAAAGTGAAAATGTCCCCTATATAACTCTCCTCTTCATACAAAATATGATCTGATTGGATCCCTATTGTGAATATCTCATATGCTCTGAAAATATATTGTATAAACAATAAATATCCAGTGTCTGATCTCCTAACTGAATGTCATTTTTTTGTTGTTGTTTTTAAAGAAAAGCACATACTACTAGCCCTACTGGTCTAAAATAATGCACTCCTGCTTTTGCTCTACGACACCAACAGTGCAACATCATGTCGTACAATTGTCACGTCACACACTAGCAAAACGCACACACACACACGCACACGCACGCACACACACACGCACACGCACGCACACACACGCATACTGACACTCACAGTGAACGCTCAGGCTGGACAGAACTACACGAGCGAGACATTTCAGACGGACACCCCTGAGGAGTGAGAGGGGAGTGAAGGGGTAAAATGAATCGGTGTGGGAAACGAGCGGTGATGTTGCGTCACTCATTACACAGCAGCAGCGGCGGCAGCAAGGAACTCCCATTCCTCCAGCATCCAGACAGCCTCCTGCGTGGCGTTAAAGGCAATATTGCATGTGATTTAAATAAGGCAAAAAATAAAAAATAAAAAATCTTAAAATAATCCAGGAAATGAAACTGTAAAATGCTAATCGTGGATGAGATGGAAAGCTCCTTGAGGAGAGGCGCTTGTTTTCACATGTGGGTTCCTCTGGACCCAGGGCGGGCGAGGTATGGGACGCGATGTGATGTTGAGGGTCATAGCACTGTGCTTTCGGACTCCTCCTCAGAGTCTGCTTTGCTTTTTGGCGACAGCGGAAGCGCCTCCGAGTTCCTGAAGGGGGAGATGTGCGTCAAGTCGAAGATGCTGTCCAGCTCCATGTTGATGACGGGGATGTCCAAGTTGCAGAGGGAATCTGGCAGAGCGGACAGAGGAGACGACAATGATGAGCAGAGGCAGAAACGGTTCCTGTGCTCAAACATAAACAGGCAGCGGATCGTCCTGATCAACGTCAAAACACGATAATGGGTCATCACAAGTGGAATGAATGACTGAAAGAATAAAGAAGCTCGGTAGGGAGGGGCCGTGTGGTTACTATAGCAACGTGCGTCTGTTAAATCGGAAAATCTGGTTTCCGCTTCCCCAGCTCCGTCTTATGAAATGAAAATATTAGATAAGACCAATAAATAAGGATTTATTAAAAAGCATTTACTGTATTGACTGATCAGCGCGCAGTTTACGGCCTGGCATGGAGTCGTTAAGAAGAAGAAGCTTTTACAGCGGCGCTCGTCTTGTCTGTACTGTTGGTTCTGGAACTCCAGAGCTTCTGCATGGAGGGGAAGGTGTGGATTTTGAGTGACCTTTGACCTCAGCTCTAGCATTGAAGAAATCCGGCCGCCCAGCGCATGCTGCTGATTCTGATTGGACATTTTCTTTTGTCTTTTAGCGAGACATTTTCACAGATAAAATTACAAATAAAATTTTTTTTTTTTTTATTAAGATACACTAATTATCATTAACCGGATGTCTGCATTAAATATCAGATCAGATTCTTTGTCTTTCAAAAGGACTGCAGAGAAGTAGCGAGTCCTTTTCCTACCACACTTTTTCCTTCCAATAAACTTTCCTTTAATACATCTGGATCCAGCATTCTGTGCAGCGCTAGCTTTTTTAGCATTCGCCTTTGTGGCTTACATTTCTTAATTAAAAACATTTTCATCTGGTATGATGACATTCTTTAACTTTTAGAGAAACTGAACTGGGTTTTTGTTAGCCGTAAGTTAAGTAAGTAAGTCGTAAATGTCAGAAATAAATGTCTGAGATATATCACAACGTGTAATAAATCCAATTCCACATTTTGAATTCAGATAAAATCCAAAATGTGGAATTCAAAATGGTGCCTGTGTGACATATTTAGACAGTTCTACAAAGCGTTATCGTGATTTCAAGCTTCCTCTTCCTTTCACAAATCAAATCCTGCCATATTCTCTGAGAGCATATCCCTGCAGCAAGTGACCGCAACTCGGTTAGTCAGAGTTTAATTATTATCTGTTCATCAAAGACTAAAACCCACAAGATCAGATCAGAGTCGTCTACAGTGATGTACAATCCTGCACATCAACCTGAGGGAAATTGTTGCTCTGCTGCGTCTTTTACGACGTCCGCAGAGTGACGACTAGAAACCGCCACGGACAGGAAGTGTGTTTAAAGGGCAGCGATGCGCGATGACAGCGTGGTGAGGGTCAGGAGGTCAGCGGGGCTGTGAATGTGGAGACCGTGAGATGGGAAAGGTGCAGGATTCCTATTGGTGGACATGCACCGCTCTCAGCCTCCATGCAAACGCCAACAAAATGTGTTTAATGTCAGCAGCTGGATAAACAAAGGGAAAGCAGCATCTGCCACTCTTACTGGCACCTCTGGGGAAGATATGAATAGATATACAGTAATGTAACGCCCCACTGAAAAGCTTAGGAAATAAATAATTTCTTTGATTTCCAATATATGGGGATAATTGTTCTAACCTCACAAGTTTGCAGCAATGAGTTGAATATTTGGTCTTTCCTCGGAGCTCAGTCTGCCTAGAACAGGGTAAGGATGTTCAAAGTGTGGCTCAAATGCATTTTTCTGGCACTTGGAATAACTTTATGTGGCCACAGAGTGCAAAACAAATGACGGTGACTGTAAAAATTAAAGTTGGACAGAAAATGCTTTTTCTTGAAAAAGAAATGCATGTAATAACTGTTATGGAAATTTGGAGTCCTCAGCAACCCACTTCCTGCTGCAATTCTCTAGTAGTGGTTCTTAACATCTGCCTTGTTAAGTTTAAAACAGTTCCAGTTGTTTTAAACTTAATTATTGCTCTTACTATAAAAATGGACGATCTTAGGTGAGAAGCTATGTTTTGGTAGCCATTTTAACATATTTATGGCTTATTTTAAAGGGAAGTTTGCTTGTCTTTCACATTTTGAAAAGTGGGACGTTAGACCGTCATCGATTACCTAAAGTTATCAAAAGTATTAAAGGTTTCTAGAAAACCTAAAAGAGTAAAACAACAAGTATGAAACTAGTGAGCGGGAGGGGAAAAAGAAAACATGCAGGAACATTTCCTCCCCGTTAAATAAACGTGTTTCGATTGAATGTTTCCTTTTGAATTCTTCACTCGTCTTCGCCAGGGGTGCCAATAAGTGTGGGCAGCGCTGTACAGGTGAAACACATAATAAAAAACTGAGTTATGCAGCCGCAGAGCAGAGAAACCAAACCCAAACTCTGCCTCCTTTAGCAGCATAAACTTGTAAAAGAGATCATCAGCGGCTCCATGTTCAGGTGAGATGGCGGAGGGGGCGGAGGGATGAGACGGGAGGAGGAGAGGTTCTTCATCACAGGAAATCCTGCTTACCCTAATAACGCCCTCTGACACTTAGAATGATAGTGAACCTCGCCTCTCATACAGCTGAAATTCAAGACAGCCAGAGCAGTCAGACAAGAAGGAAGAGTTAGATTTGAACAGGACGAAAATCTGCTGGAGATGAAACAAATAAATACATGAACAGAACATCAAGTTCAACAGCGACCAGCGTGGAGATGCAATGAAACCACGGCGTAGGATCAGAGTAAGAAAAGTAGGTGAAGGGTAATATTATTATTAGATCAGCTTGTCTAGAAAATGTGCTTAGAAGGATCTGGTTATCCAACACTGATATTTTTTTATTAAATATTTTAACATAAAGTGACAGTATAAAGAGATGGGAAGGGAGGATTTTATGTAATCTTGTTGTAAAGTGTCACACATAAACATTGAATAACTTTACAATTTTACTGTTTGAAACTGTAATACTATTTAAAACAACTTTTAAAGGTAAAATGAGTCTCACATATTGTCACTTCCAAGTAGAAATCTCTCATCTTTTCATTTATAATCATTATGATAATAACTGATTTTCTGTTGAAAATCAGACTTTGTGGTTTAATTTAGGAATATCACTGAGAGGAAATAAATTTTTTTCTATTGTTTAATACTGTCAACATTAAAGATTTCACTATGTGATTTAACCCATATGTTAATTTTTTTTCTCTTTTAATTCTTTTTGTTGGGTAACACAGCAAGTTATAACTGGTCATCTTTATTTATTTAATTTAATTTATTTGTTTTGTATTTTACAACGTAGCTCACTTTGTCTAATTCCACTTGTAAATGCAATTTATATGAACAAAAAAGTTGCGGTTAGAGTTTGCTAGATTTGATGTAAAACCTTGGACAGCCACTAGGTGCCAGACTAGAGCAGAAGAGTTGAAGTCCAAAAGAAAAGGAGCCAAAATCGCTTCAAGGAACTTTTACATCTTTTTATTTATAGAAAGCCAAAACACTGGAGACTCTAGTCCAGTTATTTAGCCAAGAAGCACTGAATATTAAGCCTGTTTAATAATTTGTTTATGTTTATCCATTAGTATGGCATTAATATGTGATTATATCCAATGAAATCTGGACTTTCCTTTTCTAAGAATATTATGTTGTATAGAGAGTCTAAAAATTTGCAATTGTGACAAGCCATCAAACTCAAATACATTTTGAAATGTGAAGCAAATTTGAAAATACAATAAAAAAAGATTTAAGGTATACTGGGTAATTTCATGCGACTTCAAAACACAAATTTGTCCAGTCACATTTGCTGCTACGTTACCTGTGGACATGCTTTCCCCAGGGGGTAAACCGTCCAGGAGACCGGATGAATGCTCCAGAGGCTGGGGGCTGGTGCCGGGTGTGGAGGGGGGCTGAGGCGGAGGCAGGTTGGGCCTCTGGCGTGGAGGCTTAGGGGTTGGTCTGGGCTTGGTGAGCGTACCTGCCAGCGAGGGCGGAGAAGACAGAGATGGGGTGGTTGCCATCTGGGACTGGCTCGGGGAACCAATGGTGGCATAACCCTGTGGGTAGCTGAAGCCGTAAGGGGAGGGTGTGCTGGGAGGGGTGGGCGACAGACTGACTGGAGACGGTTGACCTGTCGACTGGTCTGACATGGCTCCTGTCTGGCAGTAAGGGCCTTTTGGGGGGATAGGGGCAAGCTTCTTGGCTGAAACAAAGAAGCAACAAGAGAACCTGAAAAGTGTACTGTTGCAGTGTAAAAAGATTCAAAAGATAAATCATTTCTAAACTTTAATTTGACCTTTACAATCAAACTGAAAACAAGCTAATCTCTTAGAGGGAGAATGATCAAAAAAATGAAAAAGCTTTAAAAGTCCATTAAAAGTGCCAACTTTGCATTATTTTGCAAATAATGACACTTTAATGCAAAGTTGGGACTTTTAATGGACTTTTAATGGACTTTTAAAGCAACTTTGCATTAAAGGTGTCATTATTTACTGAATGACACTTCATGACAATTGTCATAGACATTCATAAAGACTCTTTCATGTTCATAACAGGTGTTATGATATGTTTATGACAGTGTCATGTTAATCTTATGCACACCCTGTCAAATAAAGTGTTACCCTTTTGACCCAGAACCTCCAGGTCTGAATCTGGGCCACTGTGCAGACACATATCCACAGATTTTATTTGAGCGTATTTGATTCAGGCAGAAAGTTTTGAAAGTGAATGTAGTTGGTCAGGTCAGTCTCACCTCTCCTCAGGCTGTGTGGGCTGTGCTCAGAGTGCTGTGACTGTCCACTAGGGGTCACTACTCCTTGGAGTCCCTTTTGTCCGATCACCGGAGACAGCTCTTTGTTTTTCAGAGTGCTACAGGAAAAAAGCAGGACAAAAACAGAGAGGTGCTGCATTATACTTTTATCATCAGCCATAATAAGCAGAGTAACGTGAGAAGAACCGCAGGTTAATGTCAAAGTGTCAGAGTGGCCACTGCTGCACAGGCAGTGTGGAAATCTCCAATGAACTCTGCTGGCTTAATGGATTTTTCTTACTTTTACAGAGGAGTGCAGGCAGAATGCCAACGTTTGCAGAACCTGAAGGTCGGAGAGCAACCAGTTCACATTCTCCCGGATGATCATCTCTAGACTTTCACTTCCAGCAGCTAAACGTTGCTCTGATAGTCGAAGCTGAGAATGGAACCTTTGGTAAAACAATGTTTGTGTTTTCTCTGATGTCAAACTGAATCACGACTTCCCTCACTAATATTATCCTCATCTGGTGTTTCTTCGGTGTTCACGCTGACGTTATGATCCGACTGGACCTACTGGGCTCACTGGTGTATGACTCATGATCACCCACTGTTGTGATCGTATTCAGTGGGAGCTTTGAATTCCCTTTGTTGCCTGGCAACCGTCTCCTGAACATCCAGGCAACATGAATGGCTATGAAATTTCCAAACATGGCGGTTGCATTAAAGATGGAGGTGGATGTAGATTGAAAAGATAAAAAAGCTTTAACAAGATTCACGCACATTTTTGTAACCCCTTAACTGCCATGATGACTCTGGTGTCCTCATGAACCCATTGACTGACATGGAAGTGTTAAACATTTATCTCCAAATTATTGCTCATTTTAGAAGAGCTGTCCACTTTTAGCATATTTTTAAAGAGAAATACTAAAGTTCACCACAAACTGCTGATATTTTGATTCAGGCCAGGATTTAAAAAAACATGATGGAACAAAAGAAAGAAAGAAAGAAAAAATAAATGAAGGAAACATGATTTAACAATGGAAGTACTATTATAAAAGTCTGCAAACATAAATATTTTCAATACTGTTTCTTTTTGTTTTCCATTCTTATGCAGACACATCAAACGCAAACCATCCTGCTCCATTTTTTCCAGGCAAGCAGTAACCCTGCATTCATGACTGACTGGTGCAAACCACATAAATGAATGAAACTAAACAGAATAGAGCTGGAGAGGGTCTCCTATTCACACCCTCCTCTGACCTCACTGCCGTCCCTCTTTGGCTCTGTGGTTTTTGTTAGTCGTGTTGGAAGTTGGAGCGAGTTGGGTCTCCATTTACCTCTTCAGCTTGGCTCCTTTCTCCCGGCTACAGGCAGAGGCTGCCCACGGAGGGGGAGCAGAAAGAGGGGCGTTGGGAGTTTTAGGGGAGCCCAGGAACAGGTCTTGACGGGTAAGAACGAGCGGGGGTTTGATGTAAAGGGTGGAGCCATTCGTTTCGGACGGGGTCGCATGCATGGTGTCGGGCAGGGAGGCCCGTTTGGGCAGGTGCAGAGAATTAGGTTTGGGGTTGGAGTTGACGTCAAGCTGCTGGGGGGACGGGCACGGGGAGAAGGGCAGCGGGGGCGGGCTGCATCCGGCTAGGCGTGGCGGAGGGGACGGGCCGGGCGGCACGACGGACTCAGGGGTGGGAGCGGCGGGACGCATACTCTGCAGTGCTCGGGTGTAGCTATAGTGGTGAGGGAACGAGTTGGAGGAGAAAAAGGAGGAAGAGGAGGAGGAACAGAAGGAGGGATAAGGGGGAGGCGGTCGCTCCTCCTCGGGGGAGGGATAGACGTAACAGGAGTCGGACCAGTTGGAAGAAGCATCGTCTGAGCTGCAATGATAAGAATATCAGCGTTTCATGGGAAACTGAGCCGTTGATGTACATCAAATTATTTGAACTTCAGGAGAGAAAGAGACGTTATCGAAGTTTGTTCCATTAACAGGGCGGAAATCGGAAAAAAGTGTTGGAAGAGAAAAAGATGGGAAACAAATAGATGAAACAGGGATTTATGTGTTACTGAGACTAAAACTGAAACGAAAAGGGAGGTCTATAAAGTATTCACACCCCTTAATCGTTTTCGCATTGTGTCACGTTTCAGCCACAAACTTCAGAGTATTTTACTGGGATTTCATTTTATGGAGAAATAAAAAAAATGGTGCATAACTGCAGAGTAGAAGGAAATCAGTAAGTGTTTCATTTAAATAAAAACATTAAAAGTTTAGCGACCGTTTGTATTTAAGTTAACTGCTACTGGAGAAACAGTTGCAGGTTGTTGACAACAGCTCAAGTTCAGTCAGACTGGATTGAGAGCATCTCTCAATCCCAACTGTGTTTAGGTCTGGACTTTGACTAGGTCATCTAAATCTGAGCCATTCCAGTGTAGTCCTCGCTGAGTATTTGGGGTTTTTGAACATGTTTTCTTCCAGGATTGCCCTGTTTTCAGCTCCACCCATTTCCCCCACTCTGATCTCCTCCAGAAAGCAAGCAGCCCCACAGCCAAATGCTGCCACCACCATGTTTCATCATGTTTTCTTCCACTTATGATGTTGTAAATAGGCCAAAATGTCCTCAGAACAGCTGGATCTATACTGAGAATAACACACAGGTGGATTTTATCTACTAAACAGGTGATTTCTGAAGGTAAGTTGTTCTACTGGATTTTATTAAGGGGAATCAGAATAAATTAACTCCAAAATTTACAGATTACTTGTAGAAAGGAGTTAATTTGGTTTCACATCAAAGTTATGCACTTGTTTGTTTTGTCTGAGACATTAAATACTAATATTGATGTTTGTGGATGAAACCCGACAAGAAGAGAAATAGTTAATGGGGTGGAAAAACTATTACATAGCACTGCAAATGCTTTTATCTTCACCAGAAATTAACTTTTATCCACTTTAATCAACATTAAAGTTAAATTTACAGAGGAGTGAAATCTGTAAGTTTCACTCCGATCGTCATCATCTTCCTAAAGCCACAACCAAAATCACTTTTGGCAAAAAAAAAAAAAAGAAAAAAAAAAAGACTTATTTTAGGAAGGTGATGATATGCAGTTTATCACTCCGGTGAAAAATTAAGGACTCTAAGAGTTTAGAAAAAAAAATGACAGAAAAAAAAAGACAGAAAATGCAAAACACTTGATCAGAACTGAGATACTGAGGTTCGTTGGGGGGTGAGAGGATGAATGAAAGCACAGACAAACTGTAGGCTTAGTTTCTGGTTTCTGCTGCGCTGGGCGGGAGCCTCGTGTGGCTGCAGGGGCAGGGCGGCACCAGCAGGTGGGAGGCCTGGGGGCGGGGTGAACAGGAGGGCGGGGCTCCGCGGCCTTACCTGGCTCGGTCGCTGCTAGTGGGAGGAGGGGTGGGGGATGGGGACGCATAGAAATCCCCAGGCTGCTCGGGGATGGGAGCGTCAGCGGACGGGGTCGACGGGTGCACGTTTGGCGGAGTCGAGGATGTTTTACGCGTCGACGGACCCCTGCGTGACACCCAAGAAGTGTCCATCACCCTGACACCCATGCTGCAGTGGGACAGAGATGCACAGCCAATCATATGACAGGAGGGTCTGGGCTGGAGGAGGGAGCGAGTTCAAGGCTTCCAGGATGTAAATTCAGCTTTTGTTCTGACGCTGGACAACTGATTCCAGCACTGAGTTAACATAAGTGAAATTATTACTCTATTTAATTCTGCAGATTCTCCTGGAAGCCAAAGGAGATGACTTGTTCTGGGCGTTTTACCGCCTTTAAAATGGCAGAAATTTTATTAGATGGTAAAATGTGTTTTTTTAAAAACTCCATCCAGTGACGGTTTGCTTTCTGTAATAAAACAAAAAGTGTAATTTGACAATACAAATACTGCTGAAAGATAGAGAATTGGGTTGATGACATCACAAGCAGCACAATTGTGTGACTTTTAAAGGTTTTTAGTTTAGGATTTCAGCCATGTTTGATCCAGAGTTTGAACTCCAAACTACGATCAAACTGAGGATCGTGGTGACAATGAAAATGACTGACTGTAAATGGGATTGTTTAAGTTGCTGATTAATCCTTTTGGTTTCTGTTCACATCCACTACACATAAAATGTGCAAATTACAAAGTCTATTTAAAGATTTGAAGAATCAACACATCTGGATTTCAATATCTGCTGAAAAATCCAGAACGCTTTATGTCCCAAAAACATTTAGCCCCATTTATTGTTTCGTTTTCCAAAAGTTTAATTCATATCTACCACATTAAAACATATTCCATATGCAAACTGCTGTGTGCCATATGTAGTAGTGTTTATATGAGTAGATATTAAATTTCCCATTGCAAGTGAATGCAGCACATACTGATCTTGCTCTCCCTTGTATGTTTTGTCAAGGTAAGCTTCCTGGGGGTTTGGACACCACAACAGAATTTGCTGCAGCACAAGTTTCATGTGCATGAAGTTGAGTGAAATGTAAAACTGTTGCACAGAGCTGAGCGTGTTTGTTTGTGCTAATTTGCAGGATCTGGCTCATTATAAGTGAGTCTGCCTGTTTAATACAGCAGTTCTGCATGAAACCTTGTCTGGATTTTAAAAAATCCTTGCACTGCTGATTTTTGTAAGTGTAAAAAAAACTGTTACCAGCAGGGAAGATTTGATCTCAATTAGATAATTAATAGCAAATCTGCAAAACAAAGAAAAAAACTGACAAGTTGTTCTACAGATAAAGTGTATGTGAAGTAAGTTTAACTGAATTTACAGAATATTTTATGTCCAGCCAGCTTTAAGATGAGGAGAACAAAAGTCAGTGTTTCCAGTCAAGGTAGTCTTCAAACCTGAACATATCTGTTCAGGGTGAGAAACTGAAGGGATGCATTTATGTAACCACAGAAAACAAAGTCTGCTCTGTGACGGGTCAAATGCGTTGCTTTAGACACACCTGAACAGCAGAACAAATGGCCGATGACCGTCAGCTCCTTTAAATGTGCAGCTATGACAAACACGACGGGACTGTAAGAGACGTAAACGAAGTCTTACTTTACCTTTGGATCTTCCTTATGCTGCAGTGTTAAAACAGAAACAAGAACCGTGAGGACATTAACAAAGACCATCAAAAATAATAAAAATAAAAAAGTTTGACTGTTGTCTGTTGCAGACGTAAAACCTTGAGGGGCAGAAACGAAGCAGCAGAAGAGAGGATTAGAGAAACGAGCCAAAAAAAAAAGAGACTTAAAGAACAAACGACAGTCACGCTATGCACTACTCTAAGTGTTTCAATGACATCAAGTCCAGGGAGAAAATTACTGCTCTATTTCACTCTAATTAGGTCAGTGTTTCCCTGATGGATACAACATAATTTCCCCCAAAAAATGAAAGGCTTTCTGCAGCTCCCAGTACATTTTCTAAAGTTTTGTTTTTCTATGTAGGTCTGGTCACTCAAAGGTTTGCCTTTGCTTGTGCTTTTTCAACATTTAAGAACCATATCTCTTTACAGGATGTTGTTGTGGCACTAGGGTTTTTAAAACAATGCACATTAAGGAGAATAGTAATAAAGTTTTTCTATCCTATGCTGTTCTATTAAATAACTGCAAAATAACAACATTGTGATTTTTTTTTCTTTGGCTGCTCTTTAAGGACCCCCTGCAGTCATTTTACAGCATGTTGTGTGGTGAGACATTACCTAAACCATTCGAAAGTCTCAGGTATTTGCAGTTTTAAGCTATTTGTGGATGGTTGTGGTTTCTAACCCTCATGAACAAAAGGAATCCACTCTATACAGTAGCTTTTCCAGTTTGTTGCCTTACGTCCACAAGCTTCAATGTATTTTACTGGGATTTTATGTGATCAACAATTGCAAAATTGTAAAATAGAGGGAAAATGATACATTTTCAAAGAGAAAAGGACTCGGTAGAAAAGTGAAAGCAGGGTTAGATAATAAAACAATACTACAAACACGCATCATATCTTTCTGAATCACTGAAAACCAGACTGCAGTTTCCTTTCTCTTCACATTTATGTACTGCTTTATGTCAGTCTGTCACATTAAAATCCCAACAGGTCATATTGAAGCCTGTGGCTGCCAATGTGACCAAATATGAAAATGTTCAATGCGTGCGAATACTTTCGTATCTAAAGGCACTTTTGCAACTAAAATCTTTTGAAGATAAAACCCAGCAGTCTCCGTTCCATTAGTCAGACGCTGACTGAATGCATCTGCCTCGTATCACGTTTCTTTAGAAGCCTCATTCTGGTTTTTGATGAGTGTTTTTTTTTTTCCACTGGAAGCAGAGCTCCCTCCATTGATCAGTCCAGGTTTAATTAGCTCGGCTGCTCGCGGTCCCTGGGCTGCAGAGCTCAGCCTCCTCGCTGGGCCCCGATAAGACAGCGGGTGTAAGGAAGCATTAGAGAGAAAAAGGCGGTGAAAGAGAAAGAAAGCAACTGGCTGGTTTTCCACTAATCCTCCTCCGCGGCTCCCGGATTGTGGGAATGGTTATTTCACAGACTAAACTTCAGCCCCCGAACTGTCTCTTAACGCGACGAAGGCTTGAGGGCAGGTGATGCAGAGTGAGTCGCTTCTGTCCGCCTTGGGGCAAAGCAGCTTGTTTACCGAGGTCATGTCGAAATCACAGGGAAACCTTCTTATTGGAGACAGGCATGAGAAATAAACTTTGTCTCCTTTTTGGTCAGATTGGTGAGTAAGAATGTGAAACTTTGGATGATTCAGAGGCGGATAATGGCTTAACAACATCCAAAGTAGGATCATTCACTAAGGCGAGAAATTTCTGCTTTGCAACATTTTCTCTAGGTTAATTTACGTTTTAAAGCTTCATTCTCTGTGATCAAAAGCTGCAGGCTTCACATTGAAACCTATAAGCTTGGTTAAAACTTTAAATCCTGCACTAATGTGGCTCCGTCTCATTCTTTTACAACTCCATCTCCAACCCTTCCTTTTTCCCCGCCTTCACTGCAAAGTAATAAACTGTTTCAGAGGTTGGAAAACATTCCCAGTTCACTTTTCTTTTTAATAAAACCCAAGCAAACAACCAACCTGATCTAGCAAACATCCGCTGAGGAGAAAAACGTCAAAATGCCTCAACACATGACTGAAAATGTCATGCAACAGATCGAAGTGCGCAAACGTACGGAACCAGACATGTGTCTAGAATGTAGTGCTGTACTGGACAACCGTTAATTTAAAGAGGCAGCTAACAGTTTAGCAAGAAAGCTCAAGAAAAACCACTGAACTGCATAGATAGAACTGCCTCCAACAAATAAAAGATCTTCATATGATTACTTTAAATAACAGGATGTTATCAAGTCAGTTATTAACGGGGCATGTTTGTTCTGGAGATATGGGTTCAGAAATGCTCTGCAGGCAGATTTTAAACATGCAAATCTTTTTATGCTGAATAGGCGGGGGTGGGGAGAATCAAACTTTTTGAAAACAAAGAGGTGGTGACATCTTGCTGTGGAAATTATTTACTTCAGCAGAGACGTGAAGGGTGATGATGGGAAGCTGAGTGAAGCTAAAAGTAGCAAACCTGGAAGAGAAACGGTCAGAATCCCCAAAAGACTGGCCCAAAAGTACTGTGGAATGATTTAGATCAAGGCTCATTCATGTGGTAGAAAGGCCTAGTCAAAGTTCAGACTAGACCATTAGTCTGGGAGGCTATGCATGAAAGCGTTTTGTGGTTTTATTAGTAAAAAACATAATGTCTTAGACCATAGATGTATTTTTCTCGGTTTATCCCATGAAAGTGTTTGACTGCAGCCTGATAAAGTGTTAAAAAGTCCAAGAGGCATAAATACTAATAAGCTATGTGCACACGTTCAGCTGATTTGACTCGTACCCGTCTTTCTTGTAGAACTCCAGCATCATGTTGTCCGTGGCGACGCTCAGCGGCCGCCGGCTCTGGTCGTTCTGCCTCCGGTCCACCTGATCCATGTCCGGAGACGGCATCAGGCTGTAGTTGGCGTTGTGGTTGGTGTGGACTGGGCTGCCGTAGTTCCCAGTGACATTAAACTCAATTTCTAAGACAAAAAAAATAAAAAATAAACAAAGAAAGAAAAATTCAGAGATTAAACTCAGCAGGATTCAAGCTTCTGTAAAATAATTTAAATAAAAATCCAGACTGCGCTTCATCATCTGCCGGTTCTTCTTTTCTGACCTCCGGGGAAGAACCAGTCGGCGTGCTGGATGATGGGCTCGATGATGCCGACGATCTGAAGGGAGACGGTCGTCATCATCTCTGTGATGTTACTGCAGCAAACAGACAGGAAACGCGTGTGTAGAGGAATTCTGGTTCAAGAAAGCATTTCATACAACACTTACGAAAAAATATTTACATAACTAAAAGATAAGAGTATTTGAGAAAGATTAACTGTTCATATTACATGCGAACAGTTGCTTAAAGTGGATCGGTAATCGACCCCTTGATCTCTACTTCTCTGGTTCCGGGTTAGCTGGTGTCTCACCCTTCATCGTGAGTCCACAGCAGGTTGGGGCCGAGGACGATGGCGATGTTTCCAGGCGTCATTTTGTTCACGTCCTGGTATTCAGTCAGCTTGGAGAGAAACTTGATCAAATACCTGTCAGCAGACGGGTGAAAGCATTCATTTTTCTCCAGCAGTCAGCAGAAGTCTGACTACTCATCTAGCTGCCCTCAGTAGACTAAATATTTAGAGAAAACCCTGCAAGAAGGAAAATCTTGAATCAGTCAGAATCTCGTCGCTCATTCCTGTTTCAAAATCTGCCTTGACTAACACAATGAAGATGAAACAAACTGACGTGTCGTTTTTTTTTTTTTCTTTTTTTTTTAATAAAAAGTGAGTGACTACTGTTTGGAGAAATGTGCAAAATATTTCCACACTTCTCTGAATAATGTTTCGATGTTATTTCAGGATTTACCGTGCCGCAAAAAAGTCGAGTCAGAAGAACTGATGATTCTTGAACTCAGTTGCTAACGCCAGAGAATAACTGCATTTTTGTGCTGTTGGAAACCAGTAAGTTGGCTGTGATTCATCCGAGTTGCGCTTTGCTCAATCGAACCATCCAGCGGCTCATCGCTGTGAGCAACAATCTTCTGACAGATCCGCATTCAGGAGCACTGCCTGGAAAATCGTCCTATTTGTGAGATTTCAAAACGAGCCCGACAAGAGCTGCGGCTCCGCGCTTCTCTCCTGCTCCTCCTCCTCTCGTCGTTCTCATCACGGCTTACATCTTTCGTCTTTTGATCGCGAGACAAACCCCGGCGAGTTGTTCGTGAGACAGCCGCTGGAGACGTTTCCCTCAGGATTAAAAGCGAGGATTAAAACCAAAAATATGACAGAAATTGGAAGTAGTAGTCATTTGAAAAAAGCCGCATTTCATTTTCCAGATTTACCTCTAAATTAACTAAGCCTGATGAACTCAGGATCAGTTGTTTTTCCATCATCGGATTTCAATATTTTGCCTAAACCTACAGTTTTCTTACAATTAATCTTTGTATCAGTAAAGGGATTAAATATATTGAAATAGAATATTTAAAGAAAGGGTGTGTTCCTCATAAAATAATGTAAAAACAAAATAAAATATCTCCTATTACAAAATAATGCGTAGCTTGGACTAATCTATCAAATGAAAAGCAACATATTCAACCAGCAAAGTGAGAATTATCGTGGAAATTCAGGCAAAATCAACGAATCCCCGCTCTTCTTTGCATTAATAATTGGGAGTTTATTGCTATTTTTCTCAAAAATTGTCAAAAACTTTCTAACTTGTACCAAACAGCTGCCTCAGCCTTAATTGATGTCAGATTATAGTCTATGACCTATACAGCGAGTGATAAAAAGTCGCTTTTACAGTCATAAATAAATATCGCAAATATTTCCAAATTACTACCACAAACCCTTTTTATTGCAAAAAACCCCCAAAAGTACCACAAAATCCTGAAGGAACTGAAAAGATGTTCAATAATATTATTTAAGTTTAAGAATCCATTGATATTTTAACAGTTTGTGAACAGGTTTTATCAATACTTTCTGGCACAACCGGCCCTTTAAGAGCATTCATGATCTTGATTTGGCCCAAAACGAAGATGAGCTTGACACCGCTGGTTCAAGTGAATAAATGGGAGATGTTACACCAGCTGCATGCATCCCTCTGCTCTCCTGCTACGTCTTACACTCAAAATCCTTTTCTGTATTTTTTTTTCTACTTGTATTGCAGTAATTACCTACAGGTACAATCACAAAACGAAGGAGGAGAACTTCAAAATCTGACTCACTTGAAGTTGTTGTTGTTGGCACACGGCAGCTTCTCGCAGGCGCCCAGCAGAGCCTGCAGCCTCTTCTCCTGGTCCTGGATGCTGCAGAACAAAAGAAAAACTCTGTCAGTTATTTGAACACAGATGTAAGAAAACACGTTTTGAACTTGTTGTTCTGTGAAGATACACACTTGGAGGCCTGGATCCAGTCATTGTAGAGCTCAAAGGTCATCAGTGGCTCGGGGAGTTCGCGCAGGTACGACTTTAAAGCGCCTGAAGGGAGAATAAAACTACAGTAAGAATGCATCGCATGCATTTAGTGTGATTGTGTATGCATGGATGCAGAATATGCCCATGGGGAAAACGTATTTATCGCATAACATTACAGGGTATCGTAAAGTATTATTCCATGTTGCACTTAAAGCACAATAACACATGCTAAATTATGACACTTCTTGCATTATGCTACATAAAGCCACATAAAGCCAGTGAAATACATTGAATTTGTTGCTGTGCTGTGACTAAACATGAAAGGTTCAAGTGGCATGAATACTTTTATGAGGGTTTGTATCTATTTAATTTCCACCTCTGCTGAAACTAAGCTCCAGCTTTGAAATGAAAAGAGAGTTTGTTTACATTAACATAATCAACTCTGAAGCTGCTTTCCCCTTTTTTTATGTTCGTCACATCTAAACAAAGCAGAGCAGACTGAGAGAGAGAAAGCATTATTATACTTTTATCATTTAAGTGGCTTGTTGATATGCGATCTGCAACCTCCAGGGCTTCTCATTTCAGCTCCTTTTCCATTTGTTTCTTTGCCATTTTCCCTTTGAATGTCTCTCTGAAGAGACAAAATTTGCCCCATTATCTCTATTTTATAAACGTTCTTTCACCCACATGATTTTCACCTCAAACATAATTATGCTGAGGAGAAAATGAGCCTCCTCATTTTCCACGAATCTCTGATGCATTAATGACATTTTGCTGCCGATGTGAGATAATGGCGAGAAATGATGGCCGACGGTGATCATGGTGTGACAAGACGTAAACATTAATGAGAATGAAAACTTTTTTTTTTTCCATTTTAAAACGTGTCATAGATACAAACACATCTCCTACTCCATGACACCAAACAACTTTATTACTTAAGAAGGTTTAGACGGAATATCTTCTTTACTTTTCATTTAAATGTTTTCCTGGGACTTCAGGCCCACTACTGGTCATAAGTCAGCATGAATGTTAGTTACAAATTAATTTAGGGGTTTTAAGGACGCATTTGATTCTTTCTATTTCCTGGGTAGAAAGACAATGTAGCCACAGTCAATTTTGAAAACAGGAACTGGGTTTTTAGTTTAGAATTTATTGAAAATAAGTCAATATTATATGGGTATAATTTATACAGTTATAAATTATAAAAATGTGACTATAATATATATAACCTTATATTCATTATAATATATATATATATATATATATATATATATATATATATATATATATATATATATTATATTATAAAATATCATATATAGTATAATATATAATATAAAATAATATAATATAATATAACAGACATGTTCATAGTTATATTGGTGCAACAAGCGTTAGTTTTGTAATCTTGTCCTAATACCTGTTCACCAGCAGTAAAACTATTAAAGCAACAGAAAACACAGTTCTCCCACAGTGGCTGACAGCAGGTGTCGGCTGACTGGGCTCCTTTCCAGCTCGTCTTTTCCTTTTCTCTGCTCTGCTGTTTTCATTTCCCAAAGGTATGAGTACGATTGATGACAAACATCAGGACATCCCTCACTGGGAAACGGCTGCATGCACCTTTAAGTCTGCTCAGCTGTGTCTAAATTCAACTGATGTTGCTGCTGCTGCTGCTGCTGCTACAGAGAAAATGAGTTTCTGATGAATGCACAGAAAATGTGTTTTCCTTTCCAACAAAGACAAAAAGAGCATAATTCTCCTTATGAACTGACTAGAAATGGCTTTTGCACAGACCTCAGTTTTATTTCCAAATGGGTTATGTTATGAAAAAAGCGACTGATGTAAAAACTTTGTTGCTTTAGTCATCACTCTAAGTCTAATCAGGTTGAATTAACTGGAAGATTTTAGAAAGGTTTTCATTTCTGCTATGTTTTAATACAACTTACAAAGTCCACATCATAGTTTTATATCACAGTGAAGAGAAGTGCCGTAACATCTGTCAAACATGGTGATGATCTGAGCTTGTTTAAATTTTACAATAACACAGCACAAGAGCAGCTGTGTTACGTTATAAAATATTTTAAACTATTTTTCCTTCTGGTTTACATCCGATGCTGTTTGAAGGACTTTCAGAGTCACTCTATATGTAAAATTTATATCATTTCAGCATTTATTTATTCATTTATTTTATATTTTCTGATCATGAAATAATGTAAACTTTCACTGGTATGAACCTAACCTTTGACCGCAGCAGTTTACCTGCAGATCGATCATTTTGTCAATAGCAGCGTTAGCCACCTAAAAATGGTTGGCAGATAAAATAAATTCACAATGTGACAAAATATGAACCGAATAATAAACACTGGAAACAATCATAACTGCATATCCCAATTATGCAAAATGAATAAAAATTTTAATTAATGATCTCTGCATTTAATTATTTCATGATGCATTTGATGATTCATTCAAATATTTAAGTAACTAATTTCTTCTTTCATGTATTTACAGTTTTTCGATCACTTTGTAATCAAAACAACATGCCAGTGAATGTTTACTGTGGTAAGGGAGATTGTTAAACAATAGCAGTTTAATTAAAAATATCGATTTAAGGCTAGAACACGTCTCCTAGCTTTTCTTATTCTTGATAAATGTGTTTTTCTCTGACAGCAGCATTGTGCAGCAGTCAGCTGCAGCAGAAAAAGCAGTACTGTCATAAAAAAAAATCAATAACAGCACCTTAATAGCCTGAAAGCTTTACTTTCTTTTGTAGTCCCTCATAGTTCTGATTTAAAAGCAGTGAAGTGACAGCGGCACACAGAAAACTGATCTTTTTTCTTTTCTCCCAGCTGCAGAAAACTCTCTGATGTTACTTACATGTGGATGTTATCAGACATTTTCTTTTCATTTCTGCACAAGAGGCACAGACTCTTAAATGGGTGGCTTGATTCGAAGATACGACATTTCGCCGTCCAAAGGTTGAGCTTAGATGCAAATGTACATGAAAAAGGAAAGATCTGTTCTCCTGTTTTTCCCATTTTGAACAGCAGCTAAGATAAATTGGCATAAGAAAACAGAATCTCCCAGATTAACAATTAGAAGTTCCCAAAGAACAAAAAGAGTATAGTGAAAATTTTATAAATACTTCAATTACGTTTATTTATCACGGACTGTTAGCGTCATTTTTCCTCCTGTAAGATTATACCACTGTAATAAAAGATGAATTTATCTTCATGCTTTTTAAATATTTTTACCAATAAGCTGTATTAGTGTTGCTTACTCACCTGCGATGGCGTGTGCGTCCGTAGAAAACTCCTGGACGTCCAACACGCCGCAGTCCAGAGACGCCTTCAGCTTCTTCAGCTTGGAGGCCGAAGGAGCGATTCGGAACAAACCCTGAAAACCCAAAACATCGAACTGTGACAGCTGAAGACAGGCTCGGCAAACGTGCAGGGTAACATGTTTTATTATTGCTATTAGTGATGAGAGACGTCAGGAGGTGAATTTTGTCATCCTAAACTGCAAAGTTGATTGATTTCTCTTTAAATGGCTGTGGTCAAGCGGTTTTAGCTTTGCATCCCCAAAATGCAAAAACTGGATAATTTCTTGCTGTAGATTTTTAATTAAACCAACAGGGATTTCCTCCCCACCCCCAAGCCGTGAAACGTTTAAGTGTGAATCTCATTAGGAGTCCCGGCAGTAATTAAGACTGACTGAACGTACAATAATGCTTCACTTTCTGTAGATGCGTTTTGAAAGCGTGTGCCGTGTTTACCTCCTCCTGCATGCCGCACTCCAGCAGCATAGTGACACAGGCTTCAATAGGAAAGGCGATATCTCTCCCGCTGAGCGCTAAGTGCTCCTCTAATGGTTTCCCGTAGCATGGTTTTTCCACCCAGGTCTCTGTCAAACGCACGAACACACACACACACACACACACACACACACACACACACACACACACACACACACACACACTAAGTCTAACAAACACACACTAACTCTGATAAACAGCACTGACTCTGCCTTAATGATCCCGCCATGTTCCAGTGATTGCTACGGATCAGTATTTGGGAAAATTTGCTGTATGAATTAATTCATTATCTCAAGCATTTTTCTGTATTTTCTATAACTATAGTAGCCATTTGACATTATTAGGACATCGGTTGAACTCAGCATAATTAAAACTTCCTTTAAAAGTTTCCAGTTACAAAATGTTTAATTTACTGCTTAAAACTTCTCTCCACCTCTAACTCGGCTTCTTTAATTTTACTGTTATTCTCTCAAATGTGGCCTTTCTTATAAACACTTAATGAATTAAAATAACCAAGAGTGGGAGACATATACTTGTTGCCACTGACAGTTTAAAGATATTTTTCAGCTCCCATTTGTTGGGGCTCTTGGTTTAAAGTTGGTACTTTCAAGGAAACGCTCAGGGATGCTCTTCAAAAATAAGCGTATTGGTGTTTCATAGGTTAAAATGATAAAATAATCCAAATTTCTAATCCGCTTAGACCGGCAATGAAAAAGGGATTTATTTACACTGTCAAAATGAAGTTACCGCGTACTCTTCAAAAAACAGTCTCATGACTGGATTACTGCTGCTTTCAGCCTCCCAGTTGGTCTACAGCAGGGATCAACAAGGGAGTCATATGATGCAAACTTAAAACATAATGCAGTCAGATACCTTACGTAATAAAATACTCATATTTGAATATTACTAGAGCACATGTGTTACACAGAGATTTGATAAATTTACAGATTCTCATCAAAGTTTCAGTGTTGGGCTCTTAAATGTGACTTTACAAGAAAACAAGCATTCAAAATCTCAATGGGTTTTTTTATGCTTTGAAAATTAATCACCACATTATTTTCAAAATAAGACACTAAATCTTGTGTAAACAGGATCAATACTGGACTTTAAATTCCTTGTAGAGATAACCAAGTGAACAAGAAGAGGACGATTTGATCCTTCAAAATGAAGTTTACCGATTCTCCAAATAAATGAGTCAGACTTATATATTTATGCTGGATAAGCAAGTTGGTGATTTTAGAGCACAAATCTTGTTTTTCTGGGTTTGTCTTACTGCAAAGTTACTTTCCAGTTTTCTAACAGGCTACATCCCTAGGTCTTTTTCTACTTGTGTTTAATTTTCCCATTTTTAAATGACAACAAACGCTGCATTTTGGATAACAGTACTTTATAATGTACACGTCACTGTTAAACAGACACTAAGAGAGAGGCAGAATCACAATCTGTAAACTCAGACTCACCCTGATGAGCTTTGATCTGCGGCAAAACACTCTGAAGCAGCTCTAATGATTTCCTGTGGTACTCTGCCTGGACTTCTATCAACTGGGCAGAGAGGCACAGAGAGACCAAAGGGTCAGCGGAGGACGTGGGCTGGTTGGACGCCTGCGTCACAGCTTGTGCAGGTGTTGGACTTACTGTCTGGAAGTAGCTTGCATAGTCTATTTCTTTGGCCACAAAATTGTACATGTCGGCTGATAACTGGTCCTGGTTAGACAGAAAACACATTTCAAGACAACAGAATCACACAAACCAACTGGAGGCAAATATGGACAGTAATAACCTGCTTTTATGATGGAAGTTGTCCTTGGAGGATAGTGAAAATACTGATGTAATAAATGAAAGGCTCCAAAACAATCCCTTTTATAATGTTGTATTTATAAAAGGGCTTAGAAATCAATATGTTTTTGTTTTTTTTATAAGTTATGTACTTTAGCTTGTTTGTCACTACAAAGCATCCCTTCAAGGTAAACATGGTGCTATTAAAAAAAGGAGCAGTTACCCCCTTACAGATTTCTTCTTTTGGATCAAATATATTTTAATATTAAAGAAAATAAATGCAAGGTGCGGTTTTCAAGTGATGATTTCATTCCCTAAAGGAAAAATCTATCCAAATCAACCGGTCCCTATGGGGAAAAGTACAATTACCTCCTAACAATAACTGGTTGTGCCACCCTTGATAGTAATAGCTGACGTCAGGCGTAACGGCTGGTAACGAGAATTTTACAATGATGTGGGGGGATTTTAGCTCACCCTCCAGGGTTCTTGAGCATAAACAGCTTGCTTAAGATCATGATAAAACATTTTCAGTCTAGACTTGGAATATCTGACTCCAGTTTTAAGGAGCTACAGCCTTTCAACAAGTTTTATTAGCGTGGTCTCGCCTGGGAAGGTTCTCCACGTTTTCTCCATTTCTTTCAGCTGGTCACTGGACTGGTGAGGTAATATTGAGACTTTTTTTTTTTGACAACTTCATGTTGTCAGACAGTTTCAATTCAAGGCTCCCTGATCCTACAGGCCTTTTACTTCCTCTTCCACAGAGGGCCATGTTCGGTTTGTGTTATGTTTTGGTCACAACATTGAAGAAGATGGAGGCGTTTCACCGGATCAGCTGTCACTTTTCAACGGCCATGATCTGTTCCCCCAGGCTACAGTTACCATAGCAACTCTGAACATTCCAAATACATAATAGTTTGAATAGCTTGTTTTTTGTTTTTTTACCCCCATTTAATAATTAAAATCTTCATTTGAAATTAGCTTTTTGTTTTTACTCAGGCTATCTTTGTACAACGTTAAAAATAGTTTGATGATCTGAATCGATTAACTGCGACAACAGAGCAAAAATCAGAAAAGAACTACCAACCAGGAAGCAAATAGTCCTTCACAGCACTGCAATTATCTCTCATTGACATTTAAGATAATATTCACTGACTCGACAGATCTCCATGCGGTTGGCTGCCTCCTCCATCTCTTCCCTGAGGTGGTCGGCCTTGGCTCCTGTTGGCTGCAGATTGCTGGATAGTCCCGAGGATTTGTTAGACTGGTAGTACCTGGGCAAAAAAGTATGTCAGGGTGTTTACAAAGTATATACGTTGGCGATGTTGTTCAAAAATATCTTACGCATCTCTAAGGTTTTTAAAACTGTTACAAGGAAGGCAAAAGATGCTTTTGATTTTTTTTATTCCTGAAAACTAATCTAAAAAAAATTCAACGGATTTATTAAAATAAGCAAAACAATGAGTCATAGTTTTGTCTCCTAAACTCAAGCTATTTCCTTTCCTAGTTCTGTCCCTCCGTCTGTGTTTCTGCATAGTTGGATGATTTTCCGTCCGAGTGCAGATGATGTGGAGCGCTGCCAGACGAGTTCAGCACACAGGAGGATGATGGGAGAAATTGCTTCATATTTGGGTCACTTTAAAAAAAAAAACCCGACAGACTTGACCGCAGCGAGGAAAATAACATCCTGAATGTCACTGCTGATGATAAGTCTGATACAACAATAAGTCAGCAGGAGTTAAAGAAAGAAATGAAAATATGGTCTGAAAATGTCATGGAAATATTTACATTGTTTTTTTTAAGTTACTGTCTATGCTGTCTAATACATTGGAATAAACTCATAATTCAAACATCTAATAACTAAAATTCATTATAAAAACGGAGGATGATGTGAAGTAATGTCATCCTTTGACCTTCTTCCACATTTTATCGCATTACAGCTGCATACCTTATGTATTTTATTGAGATTTTCTTTCTTTGAAATACTCCCTCCATTTTCTCTCCTTCATTTATTTTCAATCTCTTCGTCTAGCCAATCAATAAAAGTCTTTTTCTTCTTCTTTAGTGACCCACCTCAGCTCCAACTCACTGTAAACCTTTTTCTTCGCCACTCTCTTACTTTTTAGAACAATTTGAAAAGCTTCAGAAATTATATAGCAAGTCTGAGGTGATGGTTTGGTGTTTGTTTATAAAAATGTAACCTAAATTTAATATTTTGGGTTAGGTGTTAACAGCAGGTGTGTGAGCACGAATCAGTCTGCGCTCTCTCGTAGTTTAACAGGAACAACTTTAACAGCGTGCTGAGCAACAAAACTATTAAATAATGTCATAATAAAGAGCAAATGTCTCATTCAAATAGCAACAAGCACAGGTGACTGAGTAAATTTAACACAGAGAGCAGTGTTAGGAGTTCACAGGTGCGCAATCAAATCCTGGTGACATTCAGTGGGAAACTTCAGCGAGACTTTGTTCACAGGGATAAAGTTTCCCAGTTCGTAGACTGGGAACCGTAATGTTTATTCCCTCTCACCTAAACAATAAAAGTCATGCATGTTTCCACCTCACCTTGTGCGAGCAGAGTCCATGTCCAGGACCAGTTTTGCTAAATGTTTCCTTTGTTTCTGGATGTTTGGGATTTCCACCTGAGAAGACGGAGCAAAGAACAGTTTCATTACTGTTAGCGGCACCACCATGCATGTGTTTCACAATTATCTAAATGTGGAGCAAGCACTGGGAGCTCCTCGTTCTGAGAATATCGTTTTTCTGCTACAACCTGGTTTATAAGTTCAAATGCATTGAAAATAATATTTACTTGAATCCCCATTGGATTTAATTTAAATTCTAAGATTAACTCACTGGCATCCTTTACCTTAAGAAATATAAGAAATATAGGTCACACCTCATTAAATAATCAGGTCTTTGTTATGAAATTCTCACATGATGATGTTTAATCTCCTTTTTTCCAGCATAAAAAGTGAATTAATGAAAAAATTACATTGTTTTACTCATTCAATAATAATAAAATACTAACAAAAGTCTGGATTCTAACTGTGAAAAAAGCTCAGAGACCCTCTTTGGGCTGAAATAACTTCAGTGAGATTTCTTGCAGCTTTCTGCTAATCTCTGACATCAGTCTGTGTAACTTTCAGCTGTGAGAGGCTAGCAGTTTTTTTAATGCATGAACAGCCTGTTTTAAGTCATCCCTAAACGCATTTATAAAACAATATCATAAGTCTGTCTAGGCAGACTGTAATCCTGAATAACCCATGTCTTTTTTTTAGGAAAGTTTGAAAATGGACTCAGTCCAACACTGCAATACAGTCTTTAATAATTTACATTTCCTGAATTCAAACTAAGACATTAGATAAAATGTCTACCTCTGCTAGGTCACATAGCGGTTCGATCACATCCTTCTCGATGGTGAGTTCGAACGCGATGAGCTCCTGAGCCAGTTTTTCCTGCGTCTCGCCGCTGAGCTTCAGCATCTTCCTGCATCCGAAGGCGAAACTCGTTTAGTCAGAGAAGTTCTCGCAGTCTCTACTCACTGGGGGTTTCTTTTAAAAATGTTGTGACGGGGGAATCAAAACAGTATCGGAGCACTCACCCCAGGAGAGACTCGTCCCCCAGCACGGCCGCCCCCTCCACCATACATTGTGCAAGTGTTGTAAGAGGAAGCTTTTTCTGACAAGAGACGAGCAGAAACAGTCAGCCAGCCTTCACAGCGAAACGTGTCGGTTATCACCGAAAACTGTGATTAACACATGAAACACATCAGTGTAGGCAGCACAGAAAAACCGGTGCATTCAAAGAATCTCCACCAGCATTTTACGGTGGCCCTGATTGTCATAAAATGATTCTCAGTTTTGAAAGCATATTTGTGGAGAATACTCCAGTTCACGTCAGACTGGCCAAAGCGTTTTAGATTTTGAGCCGGAGATGATCCAATGCCGTCCTGATTCCTTAAAAACAAAACTGATTTGACGCTTTAATAAAGCTGGAGACGAAATACTTTAGCCAGCATGGCCATATTTTTTCTAGCCCATTGGCTGAACTGGCAAAAATAATCAACAGGAAAATTGTGGAAGTCAAGTGATAGTAGCGCCCCTCTGGTTGTGTCACCCTGGGTAATGAGCCACGTTGGGAAATATACTAGATATTTAAAAAATAAGAATATGTCAATTTGCCAAATAAAAGTGTGGCATCCACATTCTGTTTTTTACACTTTTATTACTAGACAAACTCATCAGTTTCATCTTTCTATTATTTCTTTGATTGCACAACCAGCTTTAATATAGAAAGGCTGAATCAATGGTGAAATTCAATATTTACAGTTAGTAATAAAATCAATACTTAAACCACATTTAGTTAAATCCCATTGAAAGGTGTTTTTGTTTTGTTCTTCATTGATTTTTTTCTTCTTCAAGTGTCCTGAAACTTTTTTAAGGTTTGTTTTTACCAAACATTTTGTAGACATTTTCTCAAATAACAAATCAAAGCATTATTCTGACCACAAGAATTTGTTTCCGATTCTCTCTAAACAGTGTTTAGCGAGCAACATTCCTAATCCATAATCCAACCTTTAAAATATAAAAAACAAAAACCTGTATCCCCTTTGAAGCGAAAATAAAGTCTGCACAAGCACCAGCTTTAATCAAATCTGTCCAGAAGCATCACTTTTTACACAGTTTAATGTTTTTAGCATCCTTTGGGCATTCGAGTCTCACCGAGGGCGACCTGACAGACTTCTTGTCCACGTCCACACCCTGCTGACCCTGCAGACAGGCGGTCAGCTTCTTGTGTGTGCTGTGGGAAACTTGCTTGACCAACTCCAGTCGTTTCTCGACCTGAAGCAAATACACACAGCAATACAGAAAACACACGTCAGAACGACTCGAGTCCGACCCAGGTCATAGTGGTATAAAAAAAAAAAATATGGTAAGATTTAAATAAATTTAGACCCTGTAGCTGTTTTATGTTGGCATATAAACACCATTACTCCACCTGCGCTTGAACGCCTTTCATTTCATTATTAAACCAACCCAGTGGAGCAGACGCTGATGCCACCGAAGGCATCGTTAATCTGGTCGATTACAATACTGCGCCCCGGATCAATCACTCAGGACGTTCAGCCTTTTATGTTGAAGAAAATTTCAATTTCTGCGCTCATTACAGTTGCCTGAAGGCGGCTCACGGAGCCATTTGGAAAAAAAAAAAGTAATTTCATGATTACCTAATACTTTGCACCTATAGTGATTTTTTTCCCCAAGAAAGACGCTCGCTCAAGCGCTCGCACGTATTTGATGAAGACTTATTAGTACCTGCAGTAGGTCCTCACTCAAAACTTCTGTTTTTTCAGCTCTGGAAAAGAAAACAAGACAGAGAGGATGCTGTTAGGAGATGAGAGAAAATCCTTACTGTGGAAAAATGACAGCTGAGAACGTCTGGGCTGGAAATAAATGAGATGAAAATACAAAATGTATTTCATTTGTCCCGACGTAGCACTCTGTGAGGATACATTTGCAGACAGAATCAAGCATATTAGACATTTTACATATGGGTTATGTTTTTGTGTCCTTGTCACAAGATTGTCATTGTCATGGCCTCAGTAGGTATAGAAAGAAAACAGGAACATCTCACATTGGGTTTTGGGCTGCAGGAAAACTGTGGACACTTTTGCAAGTATATGTGAAAATTTCGAAAGCATTACAAACATGAGCTGCTGCTCTAGCCTCTTTCTCATCTTTGCCATCAATGTTATAGCCTCTGCACTTTATCTTTAATAGTAACAGGTATATTTTTTGTTCATACTTCAGCCTGAATGTACACCTTCCTTTGGTCTCCCAGCAACCAGCACAGCCAGTCCTGGCTAAAGTTTGTAGGTGTGCGTGTATCTCATGGCTGAGAGCCACAGTGCACACCAAGGTTTCTGTCTGTGGTTCAGTGTTTCTTAGGGTGGAGATAAGGGATTGTTTAGTCGGGTTATTCACTCAGGGCGCCGAAAAGGCTTCTACCGTCTCTGCCTTTTGGAGAAGGTGCTCAGGAGGAGAACAAAACCAAACCTTTTTGGTCGATTTGCAACAGCACTGATGGAAAACCAACATGGAAAATCCCTTGACTCACCCCATAGCATGGCGGTGGCAATATCATGGTGTGGGAACACTATTCTTTAGCTAGGTACATGAACGCTGGTTAGAGTTGATGAGAAGATGGATGGATGGAGATAAAAACAGGATAATCCAGAAGGAAAACATGCCAAGAGGTGTTGAGAAACAGTCAGAATCCAAATGAAACAGTTTAGATCCGGGTCATTCCTGAATTAAACAAAGCTCTCATTATCAGGCCTTTATAGAATTTGACTACATGGTCCGGGGGGTAAATCAGGACATGTTTAAAGGAGGAACTACAAAATAATTACTGCCTAAAGGTGACTAAAAACAGCCAAGAAACTGTTTGAAGTTTTCAGAACCAACGCCTGAAGTGAGTAAGTTGTACAACAAACATAATTAAGGAAATTGAGCCGGTATTTTCTTCAACGCAGGCTGAGTTACTATAAAGAACAGCAACAACTTTAACAGCCTTGTCCTGACAGACCAAGAATAAGCAGCAAATCAATTGGGTCCACCTCACCAAGCTTCCTGAGCGGCCCTGAGAACCCGCCCACCAAGGCAGCATCCTGCCACAGACAGAGTCTGCTGCAACAGAGTCCAGCAGAAAACCCTCCGGCCGACACGCCGCTGGGGCTGGGTGGACTTACAGCGCCACGCTGCTCCCGCGCCAGACTCCTGGTCTGCAGCTTTCTCCTCCACATCCCCCCCACCCCCACTGCTGACAGGTGATAACACACCTGTTCTCAGGCAGCAGCCCGGTGACAGGAAGCAGACAGAGGAGGAGGCTGAGGAGGCAACGAGGGAGGGGAATGTCAGTCTGAAGAATTAGGCCTGACCAGCTGCTCCTTTGTTTCTCAAACTCCTGTTGTATTTTCTGCTACCCCTGTCAAAAGCCTGGATCTCAGAAACAGAAAAAAAAAATGTAAAGGTTGTATTTTATGACTGAATATACCTTCCTGACACAAAGAAAACAATCTCATAGCTGAGTCAGAGGTCTTAGTGCTGCAGCTGAATGATTATTGATCTGTCTGAGGAGAAAGAGGCTGGGCTCAGGAGGACAACAGGATGCTGCTTTTATTCCTCCTCGCCTCCCGCCGTGTGACTCTTCTTCTCTGTTCACACAACGTTTCATCAAAAGCAGACATTTAAGCCTGTAAGCGTTGGGTTTAATGGCAGCAAGAACCCGTTTTCTGAAATCTTAACGGCTCTCGGTTCCCCAGATGTAAAAAGATTCAGACGTTATCAGAGTTGAACTGTTTACAGCGGCTTTCAGTCTGACAGAGTACGAGGCAGTGTTGGTGAGAAAGACCCGAGGCTGTGGTCCGTTCAGTTTTTATAAGCTTCAGAGTATTTCACAAAATAAGGGGGAACAAAATATTGAAGTTTGTAGTGTGAACTCTTATAGTGTCTAGTGTATTTATACCCTTTAAGCGCATTCACGTTGTGTGACATAATAACCACAGTCACAAACTTTTGCCAAAAGTTGTGAGTTCAGTCAGACTGGGCGGGTCGTGCCTTCAAGTCTTCTTACGGGTTGAAAACCAGAATTAAATCTGGACTTTGACTTTCGAAGGGCCATCTTTCACCTTCAGCTTTAGAAAGAGAGAAAAACTGACGCATAAATAAGACTGGACACGGAAAACTTATTGTTTACTACGAAATTAACAAAAACCAGAGGATTTGAATGCATCTCATGTAACTATCAAAGTGGTGAAATCTCCCCATTCAGCGAAATGCAGCAGCCAACAGTTTCCTTGTTGTGTTTTTACAAATCTGCAAGGACAGGAGAAGGTCTCCTGTTCCTGATGCGCTAACGTTTCCACTCGGGTGGGTAGGGGGGCTCTCGTAAAGCAGCATGACAACGTTTGCAGCTGCGGAAGGGAGAGGCTGAAAAACACATGCTTCATATTACGGAAAAAATGTTTTAGGCTGGTGAAATACAAGCAAATAGAAACGGCATCTCGCTGACATTGAAAACAGGTGGGAAAAGAACACACGGTACAGTATATTGTCTGGCTTGCGCTGCAGGTTTTTGTTAATTTTCTGACTTTGGAAGCATCCAGGGCCAGAGCCTCTGCTGCGCGGTCGGGGTTTTACTGCAGCAGGTACTGTCGTCACAGCCGGGATTCCCACCAGCAGAGAGAAAATGAGGCGGAGGCAGAGAGATGTGATCAGGATAGAAATGGAGAGAGAACATTCATGTTTTTATTCCCTCAGAGATAAATCATCTTGATAGATTATGAATAGTCGAGGTGGAAGAAAAGCAGAAAAAGAACCATTTGATTTTCTGAACAGCTCTTATAAAGTTTGGTCTGAAACAAAAATGGCAAATGGATTGAATTTATGCTTGAATAAATTTATGCTTGGGGTAAAGTCCTACATTTTTCCTTTCAGTGAACACACCGTGTGTCAGTGCTACCAGACTGACATGCCAACAACATGCTTTAGTGCAGCAGTTAGCTACATTTAGTGCACTGATGCAAGAAGATGTTTGAAAGGAAACAGTTTTTAATTGTCAAGAAATGTCTTTAGTCCATTCAGGCTTCACAACAACTAGAAAGAGCATGACTTTCAGCAGGTAACAGGAAGGCTGGAAGCACTACAGCTAAGTTGTTCTATTTTATCCTTTTGAGATTTCAACCTTTTATCCATCGTGGAAAGTTTTAAATTGGGATACATTGGCAGGCTTTTGGAAAAACCCGAACGCAGGCAGGAGACGGTCACAATCACCTCTGAACAGGAGGAAACTCAGAAGATCAAACCAGCATGAAGGAAGTTCTGAGATGACAAAGAAAAGATGACAAAGCAGGTGGGTTTAGCATGAAGGTGTGTGAGGATGAACGAGGCTGTGGAGCGTAATAGAGTCATGAAGGGAGCATGAGGCGCGGCGCTGGTGGTCGAGCTGACGTCTGTCACAACAAAAACACCTCGGATGAGATGCGTATCTTTGTGTCACACACACACACACACACGCGCGCACATACACACGCACACACGCACACACACACGCACACACACTCCAGCTTCTTTATGCTTCAAGGTCACCTACTTTCTTCTCTCACCGAGTCTCAATACTTACACACAGGCACTCTCTTTTGTTAGGCTTCTTAACTTTATCGCTACAATATGCAAATGAGGTAGAATCTGCTGTGCTCTAAAATTTAGCAACATATATCTCCCTAACAACAACAAAAAAAGATCTATATGTGGGCATTTTGCAAAAAAAAAAATTAAAATTATGTTTCACAAATCAAAATGTTACAAAGCTAATTCGTAGACAGAAAGTATAACAAAAAACACTGTTAGCTAAAAACACAAAGAGTGTCTGGCTATTTTACCATCAAGTGACAGGCAGCATAAAGTTAAAATTTGATCAAAAATAAATGTATCTACTTAGCAACACATTATTTGGCCTGGAGCTGTTTATAACACACCTTGGTTCTGATGTGAGTCCAGCACTGAATTACAACCAAACACAAGATAACAGAAAACCGAAGGATAAAGCCGCTCGCAGCAGCAAATCAAAATGCTGTTCACAACCAGAGCTCGGAGAGTCCAGGTCCGGCTCACCAGAGGCCTTTTCTTTAAAAGAGCTCTAAATCCCTCAAGCTTTTCCCCGAGTTGAATACAATGAAATGGGCCGACTCATTCCAGATTCACCCCGAGTTCCTCAGCCCTCACGGGCCTCACGACTGACAAAGCGAAAGCAAAAGTGCACAAAGTTCAGAAAATAAAATCAATCATAGCAGGTTGTGCACTTCTTTAAAGCCTTAAGAGATTCAGTTTTCACCTTCAGAGACTGAA